TGTCATTTGTTTTGCCAAAATACAGAAATCCATGTTTGTGAATCACTATAAAATGAAAAAATAAAAATAAAATGCAGGACAGAAGCCCCTCAGATTATGACTGACGGGAGAATTCACAATGTTACACGCTCTTTTCACAATTTTATTTATGCCAAACATCCCAACCCAGGTGTGTCCCAGTTTATAATTTTGAAAATCTGGTGATTGTGATTTTATGTGAGAAAGACTTGTTTAAGAGCAGAAATCTGTGCATCTTTTTTAGTCAGCCTTCTGTTTGCATTAAAATAAATATTCAAGTCTAACAAAGCCTCAGACTTTGATGACAAGGTGACAAGGCAATACACTGCAAAAAGCTTGGCCAAAATTTAAGATATAACACATAAATCTATCAGAAAATGATGTAGTAGTGAAGTTATCTTGTCCATGCAGCAAGATAATTTTACTTGACAAGATATCTTAAAATAAACAACGTCTAGACTAGAATTAAGCAGTCTCAGAACTAGTACGTGGATAATAATTCTGAAAACAAGATGAATAACCTGATATAAGTTGGCCAGATCATAGAAATGTGCAGTGTACACAAGACTGAGTCCACGAGAGTGAGACCAGATGAGATTTTGACATGATTTGTAATAAATAAACTGCTCTTCACCGCTAACACGAGCTTAGTTCAGCTTCTTACATCACCCTCCCTCGTTCACTTTCTGTCACCTTTGTCTTGACTTTTCTCATAAATCTACCTTTAAAACACGTATTCTTACTGTGAAAGGGGCTTATTATGAAACTGTGAGCTGTGTAGTGCAGTAGTTTGTGGTTCTTTTTTATTACATCTTTTCATTTTTTATGTGTCTGTGTTTAATTCGAGGGCTAGAACAGGATAGATTTAGTGTTACTGTGCTAATTTACATCTATGATAGATCTTTGTTTAAATATTCAGGTATAAAGTTAAACGGGAAGCAGGAAAGAAGGCTTAGCTGGGCTTAGCCAACAAATGCGTCAGACGTGACCACTACAGTTTGTCCTCTAAAGTATTTGAAGAATGTCCCAAGGCCTGTTATGGAAAACAGGGCCACAGGTTTTCTCTACACTTCTGAGTATTTGTCACTAAACCTAAATTTGGCTCAGAGGAACTATTGATGCTTTGGAGGTGATGTTATCAACTTTCCTTGGAGGTTTAATGCTCACTGTAGGCTCTGCTCTGTCTGAAGCTCTGTTACTCAATTTAGATTTCAATCTGATCTTTGTTTTAACACAATCTGACCAGAAAGAGCTGACTTAGCAGGAACTACAGCTGGTGTCATGATTTGTGCTGTTAAACAAGTCCCTCACGTAAAACTTTTTTTTTTTCATTTAGTCACATCAGCTTTTTGTTGAAAATCTAACTGCTAAACAGGACCATGACCTCCTGAAGCTCCTGAACATATGTAAATCCATTGTGTATTTTCTAGTTTTCTGATGATCTTAAAACTTTTTTTGGCTGTGTTTGAAAATGTTGCCAATACGATACATACCTCGATACATAAGCCACGATACGATCTCGATAAATCTCGAGCTTGATACAGTGCACTTTTGGTTCGATACTGTATATATTACAAATCAATTCGATATGGTTCAATCAAAATGGTTCATCGTATCGTTTAATATAATGATACAGTACTGATATTGTGGACTGCTGTATTGATGTATCACCATCATCATTTTATATTTTTATTTTTTGGTATTAGCAGCACTACAGTTTTGTTGCTTGTTCAGAGGAAGGAAACTCGCTTATGCAACACATTTGACATTTTCACTTTTTTCATGATTAAAATGTTTGTGTTCCATGTTATCTGTGCTCAAGAAGTGGTTTAACAAAGACTTTTTGTATCACAGCCATGATTTAGCCTTTATTTTTTATTGAACCATATCGAATTGATTTGAAATATATTTTACTGAATCGTATCAAATCGTAAGCTCATTGTATCGAGATATGTATCGTATTGTGGCCTATATATCGAGGTATTTATTGTATTGGCAACTTCTGAATGATACCCAGCCCTAACTGTGATGCTAAAGTCTTTGTTAAGCCACATGCTCATTTTATTCAGTAAAAATCTGTAAAAATGTCAAATGCTTCGCTTAAACAAGTTTCCTTCCTCTGTACAGTGCCGTTGTAACCAAATAATTTTGTAAAATATTCCAAAAAATACTCTTGGTGATACTGTATCATCACATTAAATGATACGATATATCTATATTTTAATATTTTTGCACACCCCTAGTGTACTTTGTGTCACCACGGTGCAAAAACATTCATTTAGCCATATCCAGAACTGTAGATGGCTCTCACCTAGCAGCACTGACGAGGTAAATACACCTCCTTCTACTGTATTGTCTCTAAAAAGAAGTCAGTGTCTCCATGGTAACTGCTGAATGTTCCACCATAGAGATACATGTAGAACACCCGCAGCAAGATGTCACTGCAGAGTATCAATAGCACAGCCTGTAATGTGTGTAAGAGTTGCGCAGGTAAGTGACATTGTTGTTGGTAGTTTTCCATCCATGGCACAGGCTGGCTCCGAGTATCCCCTCAAATCCCCTCAATAAGGCAGTGGGTAAGCAGGATTTCCGCTTTCACAACTCCAGGGGCGACGCTGTTATAATACTCCTGTCAGACTGTGCAACACCAGAAAATAATGGCATGTTTTTGGGTGAGAGTGGGAGGAGCCTGAAGGAAAATGGTACAGATAAGCTTTATGTTGACGATACCTGAAGGAATTTTGTTATTAGAGAGATCCGTGATGGCTCAGTGGACTTTGCCGTGCTTTGATTCTGGTTCAAGGTGGAACTTAAATCCTGTGTTGTTTATATACAGCATATTTCTTATTCTAAGCCATGTCAAAATAGAAAACACTGTATTAGCCTCCTACTGGAAGATTTACTCAACAAGACTGAGAGAACTGCTGTGTTGTGCTGTAAATACAACTTCAAGGTCCATTTGAACTCTATAGATGCAATAATTTTCAAATATTTGTGCAGGACATTGCAACTGTGTCTAATATTTAGACAATTTCTCTCCAGCCACTAGGTCAGGAATCGGAATACACTAGATGGTTTCCAAGAACCCCGGAAGTTGTAGACCTTGCACCGGCCAGTCAGCGAAGAGCTGTGACGCCATGACGTCATACTCAAGCGCCTGTCTGGGTCCCGTTTGTGGAACAGCACAACAGTAAACAAAGCAGTCGAGATGGATGTAGACGAAGACAAACATTCTGTGTTGGCAACGATTCCCCAAATTGACGATTTAAAGCCAGAACAAAGAAAATGTTTGGTGAATTTTATCACGTGGATAGGCGCTATTCCCTTTCTTCCTACGCGATTTGGTGCATTACATACGCCACAACCAAACAACAGCGACTGGTTAAATAAAAAAGTATTTGCCTACTGTTGAGCAAATTAATCCTAATGCTACGAGGTCAGACGGTTTCCACGAAGTGAAACCGGCTGATGAATCAGGCTATGATTTAGCTATTATTTTTATTGAACCGTATTGACCCGCTTTGAAATATATCGTATCGTAGTACACTGTATCGAGATATGTATCGTACCGTGGCCCATGTATCGAGGTATGTATCGTATCGGCAACTTCTTAATGATACTCAGCCCTAATTACAAGGTGGACATGTGGAGTGTTTTCTGTTTGAGAGAAGAACTTGTGTGTTAAACATGTGTGAATAAAACCAAACAAAACTCCAGGTCTGTTTTTGATGAGGAAATAGTATTATAACATAGATCAGAAACAAAAACAGTCAGGCAAATACATCTTATAAATGAGACCCCCCGGTCCGTAGCTTAGTGGATACCAATAACACACATTACCGCTACCTGCCTATCTGATTCCGTATTGAGTTCTGCTAAATCAAAACAACAGATTAGGCAATGCACACTACACACAACTGTTAGGACATGTGGGCATTAGGAGTCGGATATCAAGTTCCCTTTTATCGTTGCATAATTTGGTGCTTCTCTCCTTGGCAGTCCTCCAACGGCAGCCGCCAGCCTGTACCCATTTCTCTTGTCACTTAATAATTATTACCAGAGACAAGTTTCACAAAAGCGTTGATGTGTGAACTGCGTGTCTATTCTTCTCAACACAAAAGCCGGCCTTATGTCGCTGTTCGAGCTCCCCCCCGATAGCATGGAGCGGTGGGGGCCTCGCTGTTTTTGCTACTTTAAAACACCCACTGTCTATCAAACTATTTTTGTGTTTTTGTTATTTTAATTTCGGTGTGTTTATTTTGGTTTTCATGGAATAAATTGGCACAAAAAAACACAGCATCCCTAAAAAATAAATGAATATATACATGAAAAATCCGAGAAATAACACCTGTAGCTATAAATTAAAAGAAATAATAATAGACAAACATTAAAAATAAAACAAATCGGTAATAATAACATAAATAGAACCCAAGAAGTTAGTGTCTCGATGGTAACTGCTGAACGTTCCACCATAGAGATACATGTAGAGCACCCCCAGTGAGATGTCACTGCGAAGAATCAATAGTACAGATTGTAATGTGTGTAACAGACAAAATAATAAAAAAAAAAATACAACAAAACAGAGTAATAATAACATAAGATCAAGTCATGTTCACATTAAAGGTGCATTGTGTAACTTTTCGTGGTGCAGTGTCCGTCAAATGCTTTTCATGGAGATGTTTGGAATGTTTTACAGTATGGCATTAAATGTTTTTTTCTTAATCGAGACCAAGCCAGACCAAGTTACAGGTCAGATCTGTGGCAAGGCGATCCCATTCACAGTCAAAGCACCTGTTTTTCTGGGTGTTTTTGAGATATAACACCACCTGTAATTGAATAAATGTAAGGTAGAGCTGTTTAAAGTCATACCCTGGAACATTACCGGCAGAGCAATGACATATCCAAATAAACAAGCAGGTGAAACTAACTAAAAAGTTACACATATAAAATGTAAAAATCCATTCTTGTTTTTGTTATTTTAGCTCCCAAGAAGACGACGCTGATGATGACAAAGAGAGACCGATATCGCCGTTCTACAGAAGGTAATTTTGCAGGAGAGCGTGTGTTGTGTGTGTGTTGTTTTGACATGGATGTAGAGCAGAGGGGAGAGTTTAAAGGGAAGGGGGCTGTTCTATTATAATGGATAACAATAGGGGCACGGGGGGAGGGGGGGGTACAGCAGCAGGCCAGAACAGCACACGCAACACTTAGCAGGCTGTTGTGAAGGCTGTTGAGTCGCCGGAATGTGAGCGCTACTACAGGGTAAACATGTCCCACATATTTGTAATATTTCCTGTTTTGTGAAAGATATATTGTAGAAGAATGCGTTTTCAAACTTATCTATGATCTGCTGCTTTAGTGAAAGTATTTAAAGTCACACTAAGTAACATTTTACCTCATTAAAGGGCCCATATTACAGTATTTTCTGATCTATGTTATAATGTTGTTTACTTATCAAAAACAAATACCTAGAGTAGTGTTTTGTTTCGTTCACGCAGGTTTAACACACAAATCCTCCGTATTTAGGCTGAGTTCTTCTCTCAAAATGAAAATACTAAGTTCCACCTTGTGATGTCATGTGATAATACAGGATGTGCTCCACTGTGTTTTTAAACTTCATAAAGCTTCACTAGAATCATTTGGATAATTTCAGCCATGGAATTGCCAATCTCTACTGAACTAAGAGGCAAAAGGAACTTGAAAACTACTGCTTCATGACATCACAAGGTGGAACAGAGCATTTTGACTGCGGCTATGTTTATATGATGACGGTTTGAACAGAAGACGCAAAAGTGGCGTTGCGTCTTCACTTTTTATTCTGCGTTTAGACAAGTGTTTTTGGGAGGAAATCTGTGTGCATACGGTGACTCAGAAGTGTGTGGAATTTGATTGTGTATGCATGCCAGGCAGCTCGGTGGTGACACTAGGTGAAGATGTATGTGACGTAAACGCGTACGCGACATGAGCAGATCTGACCAGAGTTTTGCGTCTTGGGCAGTGTAGACGGAAACGCTACGGCAGAGCGTATTCAACTTTTTCCACTCTGGAGCGTGGTTTCAGATTTTTGCGTTTTTAAGCCCCAAAAGCGCTGTCGTCGTCTAAACGAAAGGCACTTCCGATAAAATATTTTGTAATTTTTACCCGCAAGTGTTCTCGTGTAAACAGGCTGTAATAATAAATGTTTACTCAAACATGTGTGAATGAAACAAAACACAACTCTATCACTACATTCTACATTCTAACACAGCTTAAAGCGCACAAGTATCAGTTTTCTGTAATACAGGACCTTTAAGGGGGACCTGCAGGAGGCGCTCTATCACTTAAAGTTACTTAGTTCCACTGAATGGAGACTGTAATAGAAAATCGGCTTTTAACAAGTTTTAAAACATGTCATAATTGTTTTCCTTTATTGTCGACTCAGAGTTTTATTTCCAGTGATTCATTCTTGTTTGATTCATCTTTATTTCCCTGCATTCAAGGAAATTCCTGTTTTCCCCAACCCTGTGTAAACACAAACTGCTCTGTGCTTGCTTTGTTCTTTGACCAAAAAAAACAAAACATCTGTGTTTTCCAGCAGCTCAGACCTTTGTTGTGATGACCTTTACATTGATGTAGCTTAAGCTTTAAGTCATGTTATAATGTTGTTATCTCCTCAAAAACAGACCTGGGGTTGTGTTTTGTTTCATTCACACATGTCTGAGTAATCCTTTATTATTTGTCTACAGCTCAGCTCTGTTTTACCTCGTGATGTCATGTAGCGGTAGTTTTCAAGTTAACAGATTCTTTTATCTTTTTCCGTAGAGTTTTGCTATTCCAGGGCTGAAATTATTCATATGATTCTAGTGAAGGTGTATGGAGTTTAAAAACTTATTGTATTATCACATGATATCACAACGTGGTAATACATTAGCCTGATTCATCAGCCGGTTTCACTTCGTAGAAACTGTCTGACCTCGCAGCATTAGGATTTGTTCGCTCGACAGTAGGCGGGTATTTTTTTAAAGTTTGTGATATATGTAATGCGCTGCTAACGGGGCTAACTGTTATATTAAGCTTTTCCCAAATCCCGTAGGAAGAAGGGCAATAACGTGTTTCCCCTTGATAAAATTCACCAAACATTCTCTTTGCTCCAGCTTTAAATCCTCGATCTTGGGAATTGTTGCCAACACAGAATATATGGCTCTTCGGTGATTGGCTGGTGCCCAGACTCGCACTTCCGGGGTTTTTGTGAACCGTCCAGTGTATTGTGATTCCTGACCTAGTTGCTGGAGAGAAATTAAATTGAGCGGAGGCACTAAGGTGGCGCCAGCATGGCTAGTAATACATAGGGGTATGCAAAAATATTGAAATATCGATGTATCGTATTGTTTAATTTGATGATACAGTATCAATATCGTGGGCTGATATATCGCCAAGAGTAATTTTTGGTATATTTTAACTAAATTATTTTGTGTAAGAGCAACAATTGAGTTGACATTTTCACTGTTTTGGTGAGTAAAAAGAGTGTTTTTCATATGAACTCTGCACAAACTTTGTAGACTTAGTCAGCTTTTAGTATCACAGCCATGATTTAGCCTTTTTTTCACTGAACTGTATCGAATCGATTTGAAATTTATCATATCGAATCATGTTGAATCAACGTCTACGTATCAAGGTATGTATCATATCGGTAACTTCTTAATGATATTCAGCCCTAGTAATACATGAAGTGCAAAGGACTTCAGTCTGAGAGGAGAAATCAGTCTAAATACACAGGATTTGTGTGTTAAAAATATGTGAATGAAACCAAACACAACTCCAGGTCTGTTTGTGATGAGGAAAAAACATTAAAACATAAAATCGGAAAATAGTGTAATATGGTCTCTTTAAACTCCAGAGTTAAAATTGCCCTACATTTCTGTTTTGTTTTGGACGACAATTTCCCGTTGATGTTACTGGGTTACTTAGCAGTCTCCTCTCCCCATTCATGCTCTCAGCTCACGTTCATCAATGACTAACTCCATGGCCTACTTGCTCTCTGTCACATACGCACTTACGCATGCACACACAAACACGCGCACACACAAACGCACACTCAGACATGTGGTGGTGACCTGTCTCTGGGGAAATCGTCTTACATACTCACAGATTGTTTTCGTGTGCCAAATTGTAGTCTGCTTGGCCGAACTGGATCACAGACGGAAGCACACGTATCCACCAATCAACCTTTATTACACATTTGACTGTTGATTAACCTGAATGAGCAAGTTCATTGTTGTCACGAATCACGGTACTAAAATTTCAAACTTGATTTCGATGGTAAGGCATACACGCAATACTCAATACAGATTCTGATACCATGATGATAATAAAAAACTATTTATTTAGACAATAGAATGTGATTTTCAAGCCGCTCCTGTGCTTTTGTACAGGCTCCAGTGAAAATGTATTTATTTTTTGTCTGTAGTTTAGTTTAGTTCAAAATTACTAAATATACAATAACAACATCCAATGTCCTATATTGTGCAAAATTTACTCTTTAGGCCATAATATAATGTTGTTACCTCATCAAAAACATCTCTGGAGTTGTTTTGTTTCATTCACACATGTTTGAGTAATGTTTTATTATTAATCTGTCTACATCTCAAAAGCTCAAAATGCTCTTTTCCACCTTGTGATGTCATATAGTGGTAGTTTTCAGTTTAGTAGTTACCTTCCAGGACTCAAATCATCCAAACGATTCTAGTGAAGGTGAATGGAGTTTAAAACCCCTGGGGCACTTCCTGTATTACCACATGACATCACAAGGTGGATCGGAGTATTCTGTTTGTGTGTTAAACATATGCAAATTAAACACAACTCCAGGTCTGTTTGTGATGAGGAAACAACATGACAATATAATAACACAGATCAGAAACTAGCACTTTTAAACACAGTCAAGCAAGTGCATCTTGTAAATGAAACCCTCCAGTCCTTAGCCTTAGTGGATACTAATAATACACATTACTCTAACCAACTATCCAATACTGTTAGATAGTTGAATTCATTAAATCATAGTACTTTTTATATTACCATGTGACCTTAAATCTGTGTAATTCATGGATCTATAATAAAAACTGGATAAGGCATTCCCGCTCTGACCCGGCTTGAGACTGACTAGTGGCCACTCAAGGTACTGCACCTCTCGGGAGCTTGGGCCCAGAATTAATTCTTCCATAGAAGCACAGTGCATTTTTTGGTAATTTAAACTGCCCTTGTTCAGCTGACAGGGCATCCACAACTTTCTCCAAGGTCAGATTTTGTAGGGATTCCTGTCTATTTTCACAACATAAACTTTTAAAAATGTTTAAATCCTCAAAGCACCTAAAAGTTAGTTTGTAAGACTTAGCCTAGCTCCGCTCTGATTGGTCCAAACGCTCCACGCCGTGCACATTATAGATGTTACACGGGTGGGAGGAGCTAGCCCGTATTGAATAAGTAAAAACAGAAGAGAAAATTATTTTGGGCACAAGCGCCAATGAGCACAGACCACTGAAAACAATACAATGCCCTCTTGGGTTCACCTTCAGATTTTATTATAGCTCTACGGTGTAATCCCTCTATAGTCCAGACTCTAAACAAGTCTCTTATACTTGTTCTGATACAACTCAAGATCATTCTAAAGCTATTCAGGAAATTCATTTCTGTCATCTGAGTGTGACTTTTTAGTATCAATACCCGCTCAAATGAGTATCCAGTTTCAATACTAGTTTTAGTTTTGATTAGTGATTTTATTTTTGATACTTTTGACAGCCCTTCACCAGGCTTTGACTGTGTGCTTTTTCATTGTGAGAGATTTCAATTCGTTACTTCCTGTATTTGCAATCCTCTGAAATCTATCATGTGCCAAGTCTTGCTGATCTAGACTAGTATACGCACAACTGCTAGTAAGTTGTGAAGTGAGGCCTGCTTTTTCTGCACACTCAGCTGTTTAAACATTGCTCTATTGCACACTAAAAATGTCAGTACAATTGGTTCAATTACGTCAGTAGGCCGTATCTGGTAAACAGAAAGGTGCACTGTG